CGTTCAGTGAGTGGGCAGCGTGTCCCTTTATTTCATCGTGCCTCTGCTTTGCTGAGTCCCCATTTTCCCTATTTATAGATGCCCCAGGAAGCAATTCCGTTAAGCCTCACCTGCATCAGCATCTCCCCATGCAGTGCCCTAGTTATGGCACAAACTGGGGGCTCTCGAATTAGTATTTCTGCCTCTACTCAGACTCACACTTTTGGACCTGGCTTTATAAGGATGATCTCTGCGTAATTTCAAACATTCCTTGTCCTGGCTATGGCTGTACCCAGTCTGTTCAGTCTCTGGAGCTTTCCATCTGCAATCACAACGCAGTGATATGCTATCAACTCTAAGAAATGTTAGAATCATATCACAGAGTCATAGAATGGCCTGGGCTGAAAAGGACCACAATGATCTTCTAGTTTCAGCCCCTCTGCTGTATGCAGGGTTGCCAACCACCAGACCAGGCTGCCCAGACCTGTTCTTCTATCTTGTCTGTCCTCTCCACTCTCCTGCCCACCTCCATCTTGAAAGAACACTGTTTATTTGTAACCTCTTCTGATTTTGAGAGAGAGGCAGAAGATAATAGCTCTTCTCCTGCATGATCTAATAAGAGAGAACTAATCCAGAAACACGGCTTGGACTTGGAAAACCTTCCACCCTTTATTATTTCTATGCGTCACTTTGCGTGTAGGGAAATTCTGAAATTCACAGGCTGTGAGGATGGATGAGGGATGAGGAAACCTCAGTGACTCAAGAGGTTTAGGATATCCTGTGTAGGATGAGTGCCACCAGCCCTGCATCATAGGCAGCTGAGCATTTGGCCCCATGGTCTTCTATGAGCTACTGGAGGGTCCAGGGATTGTTCCAGTACCTGGCCCAACACTGCCAGCTCTCCCAGCACAGTCCCAATTATTGGGAGGTTTGGTGTTTCTCTGAGTCAGAGCAGCTGCAGGAGGACTTCAACCTCAGCTGAGAAAAGGTTGGAAACCTGGTCTCCATGCAGTGAAGCAGAATCCAGAAGAGCTTCATTAAGAAGCACCAGTTATTAAAGATGATTTCAATCTGGGGATCCAAGTAATAATGCTTTTTAGCTGGTGCTGTCTGGAATTCCAGCTTGAAGATTGAAGCCCTCTGGTTCAGACAAAGGGCAAGAGAGGCAATTTTTATGTCCTCGCACACCTAGTGATGGATGTCCTGGGCAAGAGAGGAGGAAAGCAGCCACCACAAACCCATGCAAAGCAGCGATTGACTCAGAAAGTCTGAATCCAAGAGAGCCCATGAGATTGTCTACCTCAGGGCACTGCAGTTCTCCTAGATCCCTGCATGCAGTGAAATGACTGCTCCTGAAACGCTGTTGGGAGTGCAATCTGCTGTGCACAGCAAGCCAAGAGCAGAGCTTCCAAGGCCCAGTGCTTGGCCATGGTCAGCAGTCCCTGAGCTTGTCCTGCTCCCAGCCTCTCCTGTCATCTGATGGTGTTTCCAGCAAGCCCCCTGCAGCAGCTATAGCAATGAGGCTCACACCTATCCGTATGATGTACTTTCAATGCATGGATGGTTTGTGAATTCTCTCCAGCTTACACTGGAACCACCTGAGCTCCTTAACTCAGTGTATCTAGGCCTTTTCCAATCCACATCTATGGTTTCTTAGGAACCAGACCATTAGCGAGTTTCTTTCACATCACATTACCCCTCTCTTCCTCCATACCTTTGATAAAAAAAGCTTTGCTGATGGAAATGATGTCAAAGCCACAGCATCCCTGTATAAAGTTTTGATCTCGGTGAATCACAGTTATGCAGAAGAAAAGAAAAAAGAATGCTTTCAAAATCATTTTGATGAAATCACTTCTACATGAAATGTGCCCGTGTCAGATGTTACAGCTTGGCACCGCGATAAGAAAGAGAGGAAACTCTGGAGTGTGGCTCAGCACGCTCATTTAGAATGGGACAAATGGCCACCTGAAGGATGTGTGCTTTTGGACACCATCTGTAGGCAGACATACATTTCTATCTTCCTGCACTCTGCATGAGGATGGGAGGAAGGGGAGAGGGCAGGGATGGAAGATAAATATACTTCTCTTGGCACCATGAGAAGGGGAAAAAGAAGGAGCTCTCTGGCTAGCTTGGAGCTCAGCAGTGCTTACAGATGGACCTGAAAACCTGGAAAGAAGGTCTGTCTTTTGACACGAACGTGGAGCTGTCAGCAAAGGGTAAGTGTGGATCTATGCAGTCGAATGCAGTCGCATAAGTGAGCCTAAACACAGTGCCTGTCCACACTGCTGAAGGTGGTGGACGTCTTCACATTCACATCCATACTGCATCTTCAAGAGCAGGCTCTGCATTGCCAAGGCTCTGCAGGGTTCTGACTAACGTGCAAAGGTGTGCAGCTCTGAGATGTGGAGCCCACTCTTCCCAGGACTTCCTACTCTTCATTTCTGACACACTCAGAGCCTGTCTGGCTTCTTGCCCCTCAAAGATGATTCTGTTTACTTGATTTCACTCATGGCATGAAGCACTTGAGCAGGAAATTGACTGTGACTTGCACAGCAAGAAAAGAGAGCAAGCATCACAGTACATGGAAGAGTCAACAAGGCCCTGAGCCCAGCTGTGTAAATCCCACTGAACTCAGTGACATCAGAGTGTAAAACAGATCGAGGCACATCTGGAATTCTTGTATCTGCAAAGCATAAAGCAGAAGGGAAACTGCCCTCTCTGAGCCCTTCCTACCCTCACCTATGTCAGACCTCGCTGCCTGCCTCGTCCAACTTCCCACAGCTATTCCTGCTGTCCACCACATCCCCCTCCTTCAATAGCATGTCTTTCAAATGGCTTTCTAATGCCTGTAAACAGAGAAATTGGCATCTGGACAGCAGGAAATCTAGGAAATGAGCACAAGGGATTCTTCTGGGCTTATGGCCAATGTATAGTCCTATGAGCCACTGAAAGCACAGCAGAGTCAAGCTCTAGAAAGCAAGAAGAGTGTCACTGGGTTGGCATAAAGCGACTCAGAGTCCATGCAGGGTAAGTGACAGTAATGCACTTATCTGCTCTGTGCTAACCACAGGAAGCATTGAAGCCAAAGTACCTGTGATACCAATTTGGAGACAGACAAACTCAGATCTGAGTTCTGTTCAGGGCTGGTTTAGTTTTCATGGGGAAATGCCACAACACACAGCTGTTTTTATCACGTTCATTCTGACTTTTGCCACTTCCTCTGGGTTCCTCGTGCACGTAGAGCTGTAAGCATCCATCCAAGCATTCTGAGGAGACCCCAAGGCTATGCCCAAACATAGAAGCGTCTCCAGCATCTAGCACAGCATCCAGCAAGTCTTCTGACTTTTCTGCAGGCTTTGAAGTGGTGTTGATCCTGCAGCCAGGCTGAGCTATCTCTCTGCTACTGCACTTCAGCTTCAGCTGTAGAGTTGAACCCTTCAAGACCCATGAAGATGCTCTCAGGTATTTTAGGACAGCTCCTGCCTCAGGCATGAAATATCTCAGAAAAACCTTCAGCACTGGCATGAAGGGGCCAAATCCAAGCAAGGATGGCAGAAAGCAGCCAGCAAAGTGCTGATTACTCACCTGTGTGTACACACACTGGACATGCATGCAGGCACAGGGACTGTCAGGGCTGTATCAAGGCATTTGTGAATCCCAGCACAGGATACTGAATTCTTGCTTCACCTCTTGGGCTGAGCAATACATTTGAACAGAAATCTGCCTGGCTTAGCTGCAGAAATCAGTGCTTGTGTTGGTCATGGAGCTGTAAGGGTATCAGGCAGCCTTACTGGGATCCCAGTTCCATGCTGCCACATAGCCACCCTGCCTTCCTCCTTCCCATGGTTGCCTCCTCCTCTCCTCATTAGCCATCAGCATACAGTCAGGCTCATACCAAGCTGTGGCCCTGCCGTTGTCTTTCTCCCCTTCCCTCCTCCATGCATAGATCTTCTGTGAAGCTCAGCACCAATCCCAATGCTACAAACCTCACTGGTGCCCAGGAAGCCTGGAGACCCTCAGCCTCACTTGCACAAATATGCCTCTAGCACGTGTCCCCAGGGCCTTGGGTACACCTAGAACAAAGCTCTTTCTCTTCTCTGGGCAGTGCCTGAGCACGAGGTCCTCCCATTTAGCACTGCATGCCACCTGCCTGTGACAGACTGGTCTTGAATGCGTAGACATCAATACTTCAAGGGCCCTATCTGACTTCTAGAGGTTATTCACCTCTACCTGCAACGTGGAGTCTTCAGCTCCAGCTAAAATGCCCTGCTATTCTGAGCATCCTGAAATATGAATGGCATTGGGGGAGCATATGGGACAGCTCGAAGGGAAGCAGGAGCATCAGGAGAGAGTGCTTTGTGTAAACAAACCCCTTGTTGGCACCAATTAAAGCTTGCATAACTGTGCCGAGTATGTCTTATTTATTACTGTCATGTTAAATGCTGAGCTAGCCTTCAGATTGGGTATTACTCAACACCCTTTTAATTTTTCAGCTTTTTAGCTGTGCTTTGTCCCTTGCAGATGACAACCACTTAGGAAAAAGAAATCTTTATTTTATATTTTTTTTTTATACTTGTACACAAGTAAAATAAAATGCATATCTATATATACTGCAATCTTGTGAAGGAAAAGGTAGCATTCTTTAACAAATGCTGCCCGTAAACGTGGTGTGATGGAATGGATACGGAAAAAACTGCAATATTCATAAACATAGGATTAAAACAGCATCAAATTCATTACCTCTGCAAATGGGAACCTGCAATACTGTTCAGTGTGATGTCAAGTTACAAACAGATTTCAGACATTCTTTTCAGACCATTTCTTACACTTTTTTTTTTTTTTTTTTTCCTGTAAATAAACCATTTTTCTTTCTCATCTGCTGTAGCAAAACCTGCTTTGTGAGCAAGTGCAGTTCCGAAGACCAAAGGTATAATTCACAGGTATCAGGACAAATAAATTATGTACATCTTTTTGTTTGTCTTTTTTTTGTTTGCTTTTGTTTTGTGGTTTTGTTTTTTTTGTTTTGTTTTGTTTTGTGTGTGTGTTTTTGTTTTTATATAAAGGCATCCAGTTAACTTTTGTGTAACAAAGCTTTCTCGGGGTGGACGGTAGTTTGCTTTTGTTTGCAACATTTATGGAGGTCAGCAAAAGTCTAGTATTAAAGTGTCATCAACCCAGGAAAAAGAGTTAATTTTAGCAGAGTAACAGTAAGCTCCACACCAAAGGGGGGATCAAAAGGCTTAGGCTGAGCTGTAACGTGGAGCTGTTTCCTTGCTGGGTGAGGCGGCACTGGGCCTTTGATTTGTTCTTTTTAGAGCAGCCCTGCCTCTTTTTGGTTGGGACTGTGGAAGGTTCAATAGGCTCTAGAAACTCTGGTCTCAACTTGGTCAATGGAGGGTCTACAATGCTGGGGAAGGTCCCAAAAGGGGAATCGTTTATCTGCTTGTTGCTGCCATTTTTGGAAGGGTCCGTCTCAACGTACTTGGTTTTGGACATGTTCTCCTTATCCTTGAGAGGGTTGTTGGAGGACGGCCGGCTGCTGTGGGAAGAAGGACCTGCCTTGCCTTTAGCTTCGTATATAAAAGATTTATCCATTTCTGGTTGGCAACACTTCATGGAGCCATCATGGGAGCTGAGAGGGGGACTCCCGGTGGCCAGTTTACCAGATCTGGTCTTAGTGCTAAAAACGCTCGTTCGAATCTGATTGAAAGAGTCGATGCATCCTTCCAAGTCAGAGCTCTGCAGCCTTTTGAGGTCTCTCCCTGCCAAGTGTGGGGGAAGGTGGCACTCCAGCTCTGAAGACGACCCTTTAAACTGCTTAAACCAATTCCAGAGAGACCGAGCCTGGCAGTCACAGATCCATTGGTTGCCATTTAAGCGCAGATACTGGAGGGACACCAGGGGTGCCATGGTTTCCCCTGTGAGCACGGTCAGGTTGTTGTTAAACAGATACAAGGTCATCACTTTCCCAAGGTCGTGAAAAGACCGGCGGTGGACCAGGCTGACTCTGTTCTGGTGTAGAAGCAACCGGTCGAGGTTGATTAACCCACGAAAGACGTTCTCTGATAAGCTCTTGATTTTGTTACCGTGCAAAAACAGGTAGGTGAGGTTCGCCAGATCTATGAAGGTGTCATCCAGCAGGTTCTGCAGGTTATTATCCTGAAGGTAGAGATATTGCAAGGAAAACAACCCTCGAAAAAGCCCCGTGGAGAGCTCCATGAGCCCACAGCGATCCAGATGTAAGGTGTGGAGGTGAACAAGACCACGGAAAGTGACAGGATTGATAGATTTCAGGTTCGTGTTGTCACTGAGATCCAACTCCTCCAGTTTGTTGAGTCCGTAGAAGGCTCCAGGCTCAATGAGGCTGATGTTGTTGGAGTGGATCCAAAGAATTGTCATGTTGCGACAAGACGTGAAGCTGGTGGACCTCACGAGGGTTATCTTGTTGTTGTGCAAGAAGATGCGCTGGCTCTGGATGGGTATCTCCGTGGGGATTGCTGTCAGTCCTTGCTGCTGACAACTTATTGTAATCTTCGGTTCACTGTAGCACACACACGCTCCAGGGCAAGACTCCACTTCTGACTGGATGTTCAAGCAAAGCACCAAAATCAGCAGTTTGCTTCCTAAAGGACAACAGAAATAGTATGAAAATTAGCCGGGATCACAGGAGAGCACTTTTCTTTGTAACTAACTGATAAGCCTGAAAATCACCCTTCTCAGCATGTTGCCATTAACCACAAACAACACGTGCCAGGGGAGCCAAACAATTAAAACGAAGAATTAAAAATCTTCTGCCGCTCAACGCAACAGTTAAAAACAATACACACTCATAGTGAGAAATCCCTGAGCACCTCCTCAGCCATTCACATCCGGGAGGCATCTGACTTTGGTCAGAGAAATAAGCCATCTTCAGTACGTATTTGCACCGTCAGTCCTGGAAACACAGCTAATGTAAAGTTGGTTCAGGGTGCTTACCTGCAGCTGTCTCCTTGGGGCTATTTATCTGTCACAGGAGCATTTAGGACAATTCAGCCTGTGGGAAGATACCTGCCTGGGTTATACTATGCCACTCTGTGTCCCATCCACTGCTGCTATCTCCTTGGTTTCCCGCACTCAAAATGTAAGATTTTGTGACTTTCCATGAACAATTTCTGATTGATCCAGTCTTCCTGCAAGACATAACTGCAGGGGATTCTCAGAATAACTTACAGGTCAGAACTGCCTGTAGAAGCCTCAGAGCCAAGAGTGCCCTTTCCTTCTCCTTCAACACCAGTCAGACCTTTGCACCACACACTCATGTTTCCCTTCCTCTCTCCTACCTCCCCCCTGAAACTCTGGCACTGATGAAGAGGTGAAAAGAGCATGTTTTCCAGAGGGCAGTGCCCTTCCTGGAGGAAATCCTATGCGAGGCTTGATTCAGGGATTCCTCAGAGCTTGCAAGGCAGAAGTAGGTTTCCTCATCCCAAGAATGCAGGCATCCCACTTGGGTTGGAGAGCCCTTGAGAGGAACATTTTTCCATGGTGATGACCCCCTGCCTTCTCAGGAGCTGGGCTGAATGGGCCCTCGAATCACAATGAAGTATTTTGACTTTTGATTCATTGTGCTTGGGAGGGGCACCGTGGAAGATGGGCAGAGATGGGCAGAAGCCATGCAGCTAACATCAGCTTCTGAAAGGGGACCTGAGCAAGAGTCACTGTGAACAGGGACAGTTTCAGCAATACTTTACCGTTACAATTAAAAGCAAGTAATGAGATTGCTTTTAACCACATGCTGAAGCTAAAACCAATGGGCAGCAACCATAGCAGTGGGAAGCTCCACTTGTGCAATACCACGTGCAAGCAGGGACACGTGTGCCTCCTTCCTAGCTCATCACACCACCTTTGGCAAAGGGATGCTCTCCTCCCCCTCGCTGGGGAGTCCCAGCCTATGCACACACCACAGCTGTGGGAGGCTCTCTCTTCCTTGGAAGGCTGCACATGTTGTTCAGACATTTTGATGCCTCATTACACTTAAAGGTAGAATACCAGAGTTCACAAAGTCAGGAAAAAGAGAAAAAAGAGCTATCAAAGAAGGCAGGATGGTGGACGCTTCTTTTGGCATGAAAGCCTGGAATCCTAAGCCCGAGTTTCCATCTAGTCAAAATAATTCACCACGTGCAGCTAATCAATCTGTGCTTATTCAACAGTCCAATATAGACAGGAGACTCCTATACATCACACTTAACATGGGAGGAAAATAACAGCTCAGCATGCAGAGATAATTTGAGCCTGATATTATTAGCTGCTGAGCATCCCTGGAAGGCAGTGTGTTGAGTGCAGTATTATGACACATTCTGGCTGGCTTGTCATGTTTTGACATATCACGTCCCATTGTAGGGAGCAAAGTAACACGAGACAACTGAAATCCCCTGCTGTAGACATGTCACACCAAGAGGAGCCTCCTGGGAAATTAAAACAATGCCAGCATCCCTCCGACCAACCCAATTCCTCTCCAGCTGATAATGAAATGTTGTAGCAGAGAAATAAGCATTTCTGGAACCTCTTCCATGATCCAGGACTGGGGTGACAGGTAGAATGGCAGCCACACCACACTGCTGCAGAGACTCCAGCAATTCCCATCCAGTAATAGCACCGGAGCTGCAGCCTACTCAGGGAATATCCAACCACAACCCAAATGCATCCCCCCCACCTTATAGATGTGTGCCACGTTCACAGTAGAATGAATGCAAAGCACAGGTCCTGTGGGAGAGGAATCACAATGACAACACTTGTGTTCCAGCCTCAGACAGAAGAGGGAAGCCCATAATAAATATATGTATACATGGAGAGAGAAAGAGAGAACATGAAGCAGCCAGCAGAAAACAAGCCATGCATATGAATACCACCCTGCCCTGTGCTAACCCCTCTGGACAACTGGGCTCTTCTCTTCCTCCAGTCATTCAAGACATGCTACAGCTTCTCCTAGCACATAGGAGCAGAAGGTAGGAGCAAATCCTGCTCCACTCCTTTCCTCTCCCATTGCTGCTGCTGCTGCAGCTGCTAGGAGCTGAGTCAGTGGCACCGATAGTCGGCCGCCAGTGGAGCAGCATAGGGAAATTAATTACAGGCAGGGCTACCCTGTGCGCTTTAATTAGGGACCTGGTGTTCATGAGCTGCTCGGATTTGCTTTTTCCATCAGAGACCGTTGCTGTCAATCATCCCCCATAGCTTTTCTCCAGTCTTCCTCCCACTGCGCAGCTCAGTCCTGGCTGAGTTCAGCACCCAGCAGCACCAGCATCCAGCCAGTGCAGTGCTTGGAGAAAGCATAGGACCACAAGACAGCCTTGGGAAGTCACACTGATGCTGCATCCCCCTTCTTCCCAGTCCTGTGGAAAAGATTGTGTCCTGACCTGCCCTTGCTCCTCTGAGGAGCTTCTCTACCACTGCTGTTCAGAGTTGGACCAGCCTGTGCTCTCTGTATCCCAGCTGTAGAATCCACCAAGTGCTATGAGGCACCCAGCCCTTGCCCCACGATAGTTTCACCTGTGTAACCCCAGACAAACATTACCTGGCTCAGGAGCCAAGTGACAACTTTAGGGATGAGCACAGGGTCGTGGCACAGGAAAGTTCCTAACATTTGACATTGGTGCGTGTTAAAGCAACCACAGAATAAGACCAAAATAGGCCAGATGTAACAGTGCTGGAGCCCAATTCTATTTGCTGGAAACATATCCCTGTTCTGGGGCCCAATGGCAGGGAACCACAGAATATCCCAAATTCTAAGGAACCCACAGGGATCACGGAGTTCCACCCCTAGTCCCATACAGCATAACCCAAACCCAATCCCTATGGCTGAGAATGGTGTCCCAATGCTCCCTGAGCTCCAGCAGCTCAGAGCCATGCCCACAGCCCTGGGGACCTTTCCTTAACCCCACCTGACACATCTCCATGCTATTCTCTTGGGCCCTGTCAACGTCACCAGAGGGCAGAGCTCAGTGTTGACCCTCCACTCCCTCTGCTACGGGTTGCACAAACCAAGGACCTCCTAACCTAACCCTAACCATAACCCTAACCCATCCTGCCTTGCCCTCAACCCTTTCCCTCGCCCCATAGATGAACAGCCATTCCTACCTACCCCTACAGAACATTAATTGAAGTCCCAGTCAAAAGCAGAAGATGAAAGAAAATCCAGCACCTGGAACCTTCGGTCTCTCCAAGAGTTTGGCTTTGAGTTTAGCATTTGTTCCTCCAGAGCTTTCTTAAAAGCCAGGATCCTCCTTCAGTCAAACTGCCACGTTTCCCCTTTGCCATCTCAGAAGTGTTATGACTCATGGAACTGGGAAGCAATTAAAGTGGGTCCATTATCTGTCTTTCCGCCAGTCCCCTGTGCGACTGCATTGTCAAACACGGCAATTAGAAAGAAAAGGCTCTGGGGGCCTCTAATAGATGCTTTGCAAACTTTTTAAGAGGCCAAAGCAAAATGCAATTTTCTGCAGTTTGCAGAGCCGTGGCCTTTCTCTGCCGCTCTGCTCTTGTCTCTATTGATTTGGAGATATTATAATGCGGCTTTCCTACAGCGGAGGGTCAATAATCATTTGAATTCTCTCCTGGTTGGGCATAAAGGGAGTGCTTTACAATACAAAGCCTTTTGCTGATGCACACAGCATTTTTCCTTTGTTTATAGCACAGAAACACCATAGCTGCTAAATTCCCTATTCTGAGCTGCTATTGTTTGAAATTCAGCACAACTCTGACAGATACTCTGCAAAGCAGCTTCAGTGTCTTCTGCTTTGTCCTGTGGACTTGTTGAACTTTAGCAGAACAGGCGCACCAAAAAGAGGAGGGCAGCACTTATACGCATCTCTAGCTGGAAGTGAATTAAGAATTGAACGAGGACGGAAAATTGGTTTGGATGAGCATCACCCCAGGCTGCAGCTTCCCCCTCTTCTGCTGCCTCGTCCCTCTGCTGCAGAGGTTTGTAACCGTTGTGATGGTGCAGCTTTAGGGTGAGAAAAGAGGAGATGGGAGTCAGCATTTAAGCACCCGGCTGAGTTAAAGCTTTGCTAAAGCAAAGGCTTGGAGCAGTGCTGGCTGAGCAGCTCCCATCTGGCGCACACCCTCAGGCAGAATCCTGGCAGACAGCAGGAGATTTTGGGGCTGATGCACATCTGCAGATCCATGGGGATGTCGGGCTGTCAGGCCCTGTAGAAGCAAACCCTCCACGGGGTCACTTGAGCTCCATGTCTGTCGCAAAGGGCTCTACTCCTCCGCAGGCTCAGCTGAGCAGGTGTGCTCAATTTCCACAGGCTGTTGCTGGAGTTCAGCATCCCCAGCTCACAGCAAAGACATCAATCTTTTCCCGGTGCTGAATCACAGCTGTCTAAAAATAGGTGGCTAATTCCCTCGTAGATGCTCTTGAGGGTACAAGGTGCCAATGTGAGTGCTCCTCTGGGAGACCAGCGCTCAGCAGCTGTTGTGTGTCATCAATGGCACATGGGAGCAATGTACAGGCACCAGCATTCCATCCCTAACTACTACAGTCTCTGCTCCCACACGCTCTGGGACTGCATGGATATCCATGAACTTTTGGGACTGCTCTGCTCTTCATTCCCTTTATCAGTGCAACTTCAGTTCTCCTCTTTAATATATCCAGTCTCTAACCTGAATGATTTCAACAGAAAGAATGCCATATGCGGTCAGAAATGAAAGGTCAATTCCATAATGCATCCAGGCAATAGATGTGTCATTTCCTGACTTCCAAGTGTTCATCTTTTCCACCTAAATCATGCTCCCTTAATGTGATTTTTGAACTTAAAGCAAGATAGATCATGTGCAATTCTTCGACTCCTTCCTCACCGATCTCCAGGGGGGTCTGAATGCTGATTCTTCAACACTGCTTAGGGTTGAACTGCAAGATTTGGTACGTGA